TGCCCTCTCTAAGGCAAACAGGCAGTTACAAGGTCAATGTTACAAGGTCCCTCCAGTCCTGCTGGTTTAGGGGACAGTGTCCTGGGTGTGGGCGCAAAGCTAATGAAGAACGAATGATTATTTTCCACTCTGAGGCTCTCCTCTCTCAAGCCCAATTTCACTGGAGATTTGCCTTGAAAAAAAAATTCATGCCTAACTTCTGGCCAAACAACAGATTGAGCATAAGCATGTTCCTGGAATTGGAGTTTGTCCCACCCCAGTGCTGTGTACGGTCACTGGGTAACACGACCTGTGGGGTCAGGATCAGTACCAACTCCAGCTCTGCTAGGGCAGTGTAACATCTCATCTCAGCAACATCAACACATCTTCTGACTCACGAGCACAGCCCTGCCATTTAACTGGCACAAGCCGATCCTGGCAGGCTGTGTCACTGCCAGGCTAACACAGCATTAGGAGATGTTCACTGTGGGATATATTTTTCTTGCATAACATGGAAACCAAAGACATTCAGCCTTTCTGTTCTCGCTCTGGTAATAATGGACTTAATCACTAGAAGGCCATACCAATCTAATTTTTTGTTTTAAGTTGAAACAAAATATAATCTGCAGCATGATGTGCTCACAGTTTAATGCTAACTTATTTCCTTAGAAAAGCTCTTAAAGACAGACTGGGTATCTCACGAGACCTAGGACATACTAGAAAAACACTCTCAAGAAAAACATGTTCAGGTGAGTGATCATGATCTGATCATCAGGTATCAACGTATGGCCCGGTAAATGTGAAGCCGTGCTTTAAGGTTGCTACACAAATACAGAAATGTAACCGGGTGTGTAACAAGCCTGCCACATACATGGGGAAATGTCCTATTAGAGGGATTTTTTTTTCAATGAAATAAGCTCAGGTGGGTTCTGGATTGATCCACACGGAGGCAATGGCTTCCTCAAGCTGCTCCTTGCAATTCTTTCTGTTTCCATGTAAGAAGCCCAGACTTGGTGTTGGAGAAGCACTGACAGTAGCATAACAGAAAGAGGAAGATCCCTGGAGAAAGATCCGGGGCTCCTGGCGAGTTGATCACCAGCTTCTGTCTAGGTTCAAGTCCTCACCACTAGTCTCCATCTAACAGATCTCAGGCATGAGGGTGTAAGCCTGAAGTCCTTTCAAGCCTCATGCAAACCTACCAGCTTCTCTGCTCATTTATTTGTAGGGTTCCCTTACATGGCAACCTTCTGCTGTCCCTCAGGAGTCTGAACAGTGTGTGCATATAATTTATTTATTTTTTCAAAGGGTAGGGTAGCATAGTTTATTTATTCATAAACCTGGCACTGGGCCAGGCTGACCAGAGTTAAAACTACATCTGAGTCTCCAATGCAGATGGCAGGGATGCCCTCCTAGGAGCATCAGCAGGAAGCTCAATCAAAAGTGGAAGAACCTGGACTTGAACTTGTACTCCGATGTGGGATGCCAGTATTGCAAACAGAAGCTTAACCCGCTACCACAACACTGACCCTGTATTATGAGCTTCCTAAAGGCAGGGATCTATTGTAGTCCACTTTGTCTATCCAATATTAACAAATAGTTCCTTCATTTGCATGCATAAAATCTAATAATTCTAAATTGAAATCAATACAACTTATTAGAAAATGGATATTTTTCCAACAAAATGATAGAAGAATTGGTAGAAGCCCTATTATTGTTCTAGAAAATATCTCACCTTTTTATTTAATAAGTAATGCAGGTAAAATTGTCAGTGTTAAGCACTTTCCAAACACCCAAAAGTTTTCTTTACTAAGTTTAAGCAATATTTTTGGCCAATCATTATATTTATAATTTTCTTGGTGATTTCAAATATTTTGATTAAAAGGCACATAAATAAACATCACAAATCAGCACATGGTGGATACCAAACCTTCCGGGATTTGGTCACTAAACATTCATTGTTATGGGACATTTGTACACTTCTTATTTTCCCATTTGTGTAAAGCAAAAGCTGAAACTATGAAGAAAACGCAATACACCTCATACATTTATAAAGTCAAATGATCTTCACGGATTTGCTCTTTTAAGGTAAAACAGGTGCAAAGGATAGCAACCTTCTAGCTTAATCTATTTATTGAAAGGATGAAGAAAATATGAGAACAATGGATCAGCAGCCAAAAATCAACTCAGCTCTATTCTGACAATCACCAAGAAGCTATTAACTGTCAGTGTGCTTCTGTTGCACAATGTCTTAAAAATGAAGAATGCTTTAACAGCTCAGGAGCAAAGCTCTTCCATCGTTGTTTGGGTTTACGATGCTCTTTCCACCTGCTTCTCAGACACTCTGATTAGGTCTGTGGGTAGCAAAACATTCTGTCACCACTAACTCTTACTCGATATCTGATTATTCCTGAATACAGATCAGCCAACTTGTGAGTGCCCTGGGCACTCTAGCAGCTTTCCTTCCAAATGCTCATTGTGACTTGATAGTCAGGTATTTCTGGCAAAAGCAATCCTCTGAGAACTGACAGGTAAGAAGGTAAACTAGAATCACCAATAAACCTACCTCAATGCTGCCCCTAGTTAATGCACATACTAAAGACTGTGTGAATCCTTCCTAAGAGCCACAATTAAAACAACTCTGGCAGCAGGCTCAAGGAAAAAGTCAGTTACCATTTGGGAAGTAGACTCTGACCTTCCTCTCAACTGGAGAGGCCAGGTTCAAGTCCTAACAACCCAAGGAGACTGGATTAAAACTATAGCAACCAGCATTATGATGCATCTAACGCCACCTATTTTTCCCCAATCCCTATGAGTCAAGATCCAAGGGGCCATTTGTTATAAGACAGTGGGAAGGTCATCCTCAAACTAATATTAGACTGTTTTCTTATTATTAAATCCCAGGAAGATTATTCTGCAAATAGAACGACAATTTATTATGCTCTATATTTCCATCACTTTAATAACTTTCTGAGAACACTGACAAATCTAATTTTAAAAAGATAAATTTGGACTCCAGCTCATAAAATTAAGAAAAATACCATTCCTAATGGTGAGTTTTATAAAAATGCCATTTAAATCTAGGCATGTCATTTATTTGATTAACAAGGTGAGCCTTGGGCTTTACTTTGGAGGAAAGAACATGTATTGATCACTAGATTTTGTACTGTTTTCCCTCTGGCATATTTCAATGTCTCATGACAGCAGACTCATCAGGACAAATGCTACTGCAGCTTCTGTTCTGTGAACAGGAGCCACTCGGTGTCATGGAAAATCATGGCTCACACCACACGTGTCTACTGCTTTGCACCTGTGGCACCTGCCCAGGGCAGGGATGCAGTAAGCCATGGATGCGTGGCGTGGTGTGGAACCCGCAGCTTCCACCTGCTTCCAGTCAGCACAGTCAGAGCCCTGTAAGCCAGGACCCTCTAACCCCAATTCAGCAACAACTTCCCTGTGCTTCACTTTCCCTGGAACAGTACAGTACAACCAGATGATACTCCCTGTGCAAAGTTCTCTGACACCAAGCAAAAAATTCTCCTCAATGTTAGCTTTCTATATGTATAATAATTTCTCACAGTTCTAATTCCTGTTCTTGTCTGTGTTCTTCAGTTGTGGAATCTCCAGCCAATAAATGCACAAACCAGTAAGAACACATCCAAAGGCAATAGTACAGGAAGACCAATGGCCCGTATGTAAAAGGACAGATTTGATTTATATAGAATGCATCAAAAGAAGCCGTACTGCCTCTGTGCTTCCTATGCCACGACTCGCTGTCAACGGGGCGTCCACTTTTGGTTCTTCTTTTACTAAAACTACTAGCAAGCCAAATCAAGTTCAAATGTCACCTCCTTCAAGAACTTTTTCTTGATCTTTGCAACCAGGTGGCCACAGCCTCTTCCACAGCACCACAGCACATTGTTCTATGGTACTAGAGCTCTGGATCATTTGTGAGCTGTGACCACACCCCTGGGCATAGGGCCTTGGGTTTTTCTGGACCTTTCTCTCTTTTGAAAGCCCACGGAACTGCCCTACACTCAAGTCAATGTGAGCATCTGACCATAGGTGGACATGGAGACTGGATGCGGGGGGAGGAAGGGGTAGGTTCTGGGGAAGCTGGAACATACTCCCTGAGGAAAGGAACAGAAGAGTCTGATGCACATGGGGGAGATGACAGCAATACTTCAGCACTTGCACGCTAACATTGGTTCTGTGCCTAAGCAGATACACAAGACAAGCAGCAGTGTATGGTGGCTTTCCCATCACTGTCTGCGTTTACGATGCTCAGCCACCCTTTCCACCTGCTTCTCAGATTCTCTGATTAGGGTTGCGGGTAGCAAAACATTCTGTTACCGTTAACTGTTGCTCGACCTCTGATTATTCCTAAACACAGTCTAGCTGTCTATCTTCTGATCATCCATTTTCAGAGGAAATGAGGTTACGGGAAACAAATACTATATGAAAAGCTGGATTTGATTTCTAGAGCCGAGAGTGTTTCCTGAGCACGGAGTCTTACAAAGAATCTCCTGCTTGCCCAGGCTAATTTGATATTGCACTGCCTGTAGTTACCAAGTGCAAACCCCATCTGCACATCAGCGATCACTATTTTGGACTGGTAAACATGTTTGTTCTTGCAATTACTGAATATTTCAAAAGGTTGGCATCTCTTCCAATCCTATTTCCCTTCACACACGTGACTAACAGAATGCTACTGCACACCGTGCACTTGAATTGGACAATTTCTGTTGAGAAAATTTCTCCCCATTATGTGGTTTTATGAAAGGAAAAACACCACATGCAGTATTACATGTAGGGAAATCAGAACTTTCGAATGTCTAAAAGTTCCAAACAGAGAGAGGAGGGTAGAGCTTTGGGTATAAAAGGCAGGACTCAAATACAGAGGAAATCTTGGGAGAAGAGAAACACATTTTAGAGTAAGAACAAGTAGATGAAAAATGAGCAGGTTAAGCTTTCAGCCCACGAGCAGGGCTACGGGAGCTGCAGGCTCTGTTCTCTTGCCCTACCTCTTGTTCCGGTCCTCCAGCTGCAGGGTGTACACCATCTCATCAGCAGTGTGCGTCTTGGAGTTGCTGTCTCCCCATTTGAGCTTCAGGCTCTGTGGCCCAGCAGCAGCACACTCGAGCCTGGGAGGCAAGGGTGGTAAGGGCCGAGTTTTTGCTTTAATGAACTGACTGAACGGTCCAGCTCCAATTTCGTTGACAGCCTGGATTCTGATCCTGGAGACGGAGGAAAAATGAGAGATAATGCAATTTTAAGAAGCAGTCATTCTGCATTCAAAATAAACACTGGACTGAGTATTTATTATTTGCCCCTAAAGCAATTATCATGAAGTAATAGTAATTATGTAAATCAACCCAAGACCATGAGCAGAGAACTGGGTAGCTCACGGGCAAATTTTACTTCCCTTTCCCAAAAGTGACAGCAAAACAAACAAAATAAACAAAACCAAACATACTAGCACGATATTCCTTAGTTCTACAAATGCATAAAAAAGGCTTACTGTTTGAAAGAAAACATTCTAAAGACAGGTTTTTCTATTTTGTTTCAGCTACCCTTTACCTACTCCTAAGTCAGTTTTGGAAGTGGAAGGGTTATAAAGAACAACATAAAACAGAAGAATAAATGAGTTTCCTTATAGTCAAGAACAAGGGGTCACAGCTCTTCCATAGCATATATACTTACTTTACAACAAGATTCATTTTATTTATTTGAAAAACAGAAGTTAAAAAAGAAAAGGGGAATATTAGGGAGAGGAATAGAGAGAAGCAGAGGGGGAGATGACGGGGTGGAGGGAGAGAGAGGGAGAGGGGGAGATGACGGGGTGGAGGGAGAGAGAGGGAGGGGGGAGATGACGGGGTGGAGGGAGAGAGAGGGAGGGGGGAGATGACGGGGTGGAGGGAGAGAGAAGGAGAGGGGGAGATGACGGGGTGGAGGGAGAGAGAGGGAGGGGGGAGATGACGGGGTGGAGGGAGAGAGAGGGAGGGGGGAGATGATGGGGTGGAGGGAGGGAGAGGGAGAGGGGGAGATGACGGGGTGGAGGGAGAGAGAGGGAGAGGGGGAGATGACGGGGTGGAGGGAGAGAGAGGGAGGGGGGAGATGACGGGGTGGAGGGAGGGAGAGGGAGAGGGAGAGATGACGGGGTGGAGGGAGAGAGAGGGAGGGGAGAGATGACGGGGTGGAGGGAGAGAGAGGGAGGGGGGAGATGACGGGGTGGAGGGAGGGACACTGAGATACAGAGAGAGTTCTTCATCCATTGCTTCACGTTCCAAGTGGACACAATGGCCGAGACAGGGCCAGGCTGAATCCAGGAGGGAGAAACGCCATCCATGTCGCCCATGTCAGTGGTAAGAGCCAAAGTAATTGGGTCATCTTTTATTGCTTTCCTAAGTGCGTTTACAAGAAGCTGGATCACAAGTGTAAGAGTTGGGATTTGAACCCAGTATTCCAATATGGAATGCTGATGCTGTGGGCAGCAGCTTAACTTACTGTGCCAGAAAACCTCTCCCTTTTACCAGCCTCAGCCAACAATCTCTGTAAGTCCTTACCCAGAGCCAAGCCTCCAGGCACTGCTAGTGCCAGGATAGCATTCAGGTGAACAAGACTCCTAACCGGATGTTTATGATGGACATAGTGTTACTGGTAACAAGGATATGCTAACACTGTCCATGGCTTAGAATTCAAACAGTTAAAATGTGCATATAAAATGATGTTTTTATATACTAACCAATTAAGTCTTGAGTTTTCAATTTTGTGATGATACAGCATTAAATTCAAAGTTAGTGCAAATGGTATATTTATTGCTCCATTGAAGTCTTTATAAGTGTCCCATACAAGGGCAGACAGGAGGTATTGAGTTCCGTGGTAATAGTATTCCTATATGTTGCTCCTCTGCTTCTCTTCCGATTGATGGAGAGACATCCACTAAGGCGGGTGTCCACCATCAGTACAGCATTGCTCTGGAAGCTCGCCCCTTCCTGGCCCTCTGGGATCTACACACCCTGGCAAGGAAAATCCTCCCTGCTGTTACGGCCAAAGGTCTGCCCTGCTCCTCCTCCACCGCACAGCATGGGCATTTCCTAACACACACTACCACACACACACAGGCCCGCCACCCATCCTGCCACAGCTCGCCAGCAACACGCCTGCAGAACCCCTGCCCCCCTTATTAGCTACACAAGTGCCTCACTGCACTTGACCCAGTGGTGTGATGCAAAGCTTTAATATTTAAACTGCATTTTAATGTGTGCCCATGTTTCCAAACACAAGAAAATGAAAAACATGGCTATCAGATATTCTTAGAGAGAAGCTGAAAATATTCATGTAATTCAGTTTCATGTACTTCTCATTTACAGTCATGATGGTGTGTTTCTATGTAAACAGAAAAATGAATAATTGTCATACTTATGAAATTCATTAAGTGTCTTCAAAATAGTCTGAATTTTCTAACTTGCAGATGATCTAAGTTGGGAAGTCAATATAATAGTATGGTTCTTGACTGTCAAGGTGAAAGACCCAGGTCAACGTTAGGTGAAGCTGAATGGGGCTTCTCCACCCCACCACTGAGTGCATCTATTAAACTTAGAGAAAGTGGTGCAGCTGCTTAAGAACTCTGAGACTAAACAGTCGCTGCAGCTTGGAAAGAAGTATAAAATCAGAATTGCTGCCAGACAAACAGAACGTCTAACGATGTTCCTCCTTCTCCATCCTAACACTGCCTGAGTTCGTGGCAGCCTAACTTCACAAGTGGCCACACACATAGACAACGCCAAGAACAGCCTGGCTTGGAAGAAGGGAAAGGAGTTTTTGGATGCTCAGAGACTCCCTGGTCCCTTTCTCCTCTCCAATCTTTCATTGCTTGGCTCTTAGCCAACCCCAATGACACCATCTGCGTAAAGCAGAAAAAAAAAAATACGAGCCCATCAACTGATACAGAAAATGCATCTCACAAAATCCAACTAGCCACTCCCTAGAGAATAGGAATGGAAAGGAGCTTCCTCAGCCTGAAAAATGGGCACCTAAAGAAACACCTGCAACTAACATTACCCACTGAGAGACGACCCGCTTTCCCTGGGAATGGTGCAAAGATGACTACTCTCAGGGTTCCTATTTAATACCAACTACTGGAAACCCCAGCCAGCACAAAAAGGCAAACCAAGATGAAACTTAACCATATGACAAATGAAATGCAGACCACAACACACTTCTGGAAATACTGAAGACCTACCAAGGGAAAGAGTGACAAAAACGAAAAGTTTTGGTATAGGAAAATTTTCAGCACCAAGTCTTTTCCTCATGTGTGGAAGACATATGTTATGAAAGAACTAGGCACAGATTAAAAGGAATTTTTTTGAATGTTTTGATGAGAATACTCATAGTCATACGGTATTCATGGATTCAAAAAGTCACCAGAGTAAAAATATCAATTCTTTCCCAAAATTGTGCTACAGGGATATTTTAACTCTCTTCTATCCAATGATCCCAGTTTGATTCTCAGGATATAGAGACAAGCTTATTCTACCAGTTGTGTGGAAAAGAAAAGGGGTTAGGAAATCGCTAATAAAAATCTGAAAATTAAGAAGAAACTGGATTTTACTGCTTAGTCGAAAGCTACAGGAATGAGGACATTGGTAAAGGAAAGTGGCAAATAAAGAGCTGGTAAAGACAGATGCCTCGGTCAGTGCACAGAGCAGCAAGCCTAGAAACAGGCAGACATGGCCAGCTGGGTTGGACAAATGTTCAGAAGCAATTGATGGACTGTAGTCTGTACAACGTTTAAGAGGAAAACACAGGAGAAGGTCTTTATCTAGAAGAGGCAAAAGGGCTTTCAGATGTGATGTGTTTCTTACATCAGAGACAAGAAAGACATTCAATTTCAAAAAAATTAAAAACTTTTGCACTGCTTAGAGAATGAAGAACTGGAGAAAATATGTGCAAATTACACTATCTGACAAAGGATGGGTGTTCACAATTTATAAAGACCTATCAAGGAGTTAACACAAGAGACAAATGACAATAACAAAAACACTGGCAAAGGCATGTTCCACATTAGAGGCCCAAGGAAAAGGCTAACTAAAAATACATGGAATTATCATTACATACAGAAAGCGCTGGGAACCAGAGGGTACAACTGAAACTCATTATTTTGCTGGTGAGAAAGCAATATGATTTAGATACTCTGGAAAAGTTCCCTTATAAATACATATTTACTACATGATTCAGTAATCCCATTCCTAGCTATTTATTCTAGGGAAATGAATACACCCTCACAGAGGCCTGCACGCACGTGTTCCCAGCAGGTACTGCCTATAGCCTTATGAATACCTGCCTTGGGATTGGGAAGGTGGCCAACACTTATCACTTGATAAAGCACACCCCTCCCCCCAAGATAAGGGCCTCAAATTCCCAGGGGCTACCACATCCAACTTGGTATTAATTCAAAGAGTGGTTCTTTCCCCTCTGTGGTTGGAATGTAAAAGATCTTTCTGCAACTAGAGACAAAGAAAATCTCTTAGACAACACAGCTATCAGGCTGCAGAGATGATCATTCTTCCTTTCTCAGGACAAGAGAATCAGAAATTGGATGCCGAGTCTTAGTCTTTCCTCAGTAGTGAGACAAATTCATTCTTTCTTTCTTCCCTTCCCTTCCCTTCCTCAGTTTTTTAAATGTTCAATTATAGAGGCTGAATACAAGAAAAATAGAATATTACATTCCAATCTAGGGAAGTGATGTAACCCCAGCAAACACTATCTTGCTAGGATGATGTGAAATATCACTTCAACGTTCCAGCAGTCTGCAGCATTCACCAATACATTAATAATAATATTGATTAAACAAATCACTCTAAAAAGTGTATCCCTCATGGATTTTAACTGAAGATCTGCTATATGAATAGATGTAATTCCATATGCCAAACACATTCCTGCTTCATAGCCTGTTACAGTGCATGTTGTATGCATGCATACATCCAAGTGTTCAATATTAAATACAATGAAACAACGACTCCCAAGCAACCACTACCAACCAAGCAAGACGATACTTCTTAGCAGGACTCACCCAGGGCTGCAGATGCTAGGAGCTGGGGGGATTGGAGGATGGTTGAGTGTTGTGGGGATTCAGACAAGGGTTGGGGTAAGGCCCAAAGAGTAAAACATGGACTGGAGTTTGAGAGGCAGAAGGACACAGAGGGACAGAGCCAACCACCTGCTTGTCCACTCCCTACATGCCTACAGAAGTGGCCAAGACCTAAAAGTCTTCCACATGGGTGGTCTGGGCCAATGACCTTGGCTGTCAGAATGCACATTATCAGGAGGCTGCAATCAGAAGCTGGAACTGGGATTCAAACTCAGGATCCCCCACTTGAAATGTAGGAACTCTTGTTAGCTTCATAATTGCTGGGGAAAATGCCCATCTTGGCTTTTTATAATTCCTTCCCCACACATGGGCCTATCATCTAATTTAAAAAATTAAGAAAAAATATGCGAGAGGAGGGATATCATCAGACAGCTTCATAGGAAGTGCACAGCCATGGGTTACATATGGAAGATCCCTTCTGGTGGGGAACCAGTACTGTGTGTGCAGGGTAAAGTTATTCCGAGAACGCTTCCTGGGGGGTGGATGGGACCCTGAACTGACCTTCCACCAAGCTCCTAATGCAGCTTCTCTGGATGAAGTAAGTGCCCCATCCTCTCTGCTGGCCTAGAACTATACGCTGCCCTGCACTGCTTAAAGTGTAACACCACATTTCCATAGATACATCAGTGTATGCATGCCCTTCTCTGCCATACGTTAGTGACAGATGCCAGGTCCTACACACACCAGGGACCGGAAATGTTACTTCAAAATGAAAACATTACTGCTCCCAAGCAGTTTTAAGATGTCAATATGCATTAGAATCTTCTAGAAGGCTAAATAAAGCCCAGTGTTGTGCCCTGCCTTTACAATGTCTGATTAAAAGGGTTGGGGTAGGATGCATGACTTGCATTTGAGCCAGTTCTCAGGTGCTGCAGGGTAGTGCAGGTGCGGCTGCTTCAGAGACCACACTTAATGAGTGGCAGTGCTACAGAGGAAGGAGCAAGTTCTTCTGAGTTGATTTTATGTACAGAGAGAAAGCTAACAAAGCATGAGAAAATTTTTAAAGATGTGGCCATATGGCATAGGCAGTAAAGCCCCAATGGCGACGCAGGTATACTTTTGGGGTACAAGTTTGAGCTTGGGTTGTTCCACTTCCAATCCAGCTCCCTGCCAATGCACTGGGGAGAACAGCTGAAGATGGCCCAAGTGTTTTGGCCCTTGCCATCTACATGGGAGACCCAGAAGAAGCTCCTGGCTGCCACATGACCCAGCTCTGGTTGTTGTGGCCATTTAGGGAGTGAGCCAGCGGATGAAAGCTGTTTTTCTTTTTGTAACTCTGCCCTTCAAATAAATTAGTTAATTAAAGAAACAAAAAATAAAAACCAGCAAACCACAGTCATTCACCAGGAAAAGTGACTATCCAGTCGCCAGTGGGAGCACTGCCTGTGTACTAGCCAGGCAGGATGACACCAGGGAACCCTATCTCGGCTTGCCAGGTCTGTGTTGACACAGGTGTGCAAAGCAAAGTTGTGTCTCCATTTTTAATGAACTTTTTTTTTTTGGCTTTCAAACCCAAACACAAATAAACCTGCAAATTGAGTTCTAACTTTAAAAAGTAATGCCTTTAAATATAGCATTGCCATTCCCATTTAGTTTCTTTCCTTTTTTTAAAAATTCATTTATTTTTATTGGAAAGGCCGATTAGATTTATAAAAGAAGGAGAGACAGACAGAAAGATCTTTCATCCGCTGGTTTACTCCTTGAACTGCTGGAACTGAGCTTATCTGAAGCCACGAGCCAGGAGCTTCCTCCAGGTCTCCAATGCAGGGCAGGGTCCCAAGGTTTTGGGCTATCCTCTCATGCTTTCCTAGGCTATAAGAAGGGAGCTGGATGGGAAGTGGAGCAGCTGGGATACAAACTGATGCCCATATGGGATCCCAGCTCGTGCAGGGTGAGGATTTAGCCATGAGCCATGGTGCTGTGCCCTCCCATTCAATTTCATACAGAATGTACTGGCAAGCCAACAGGCAGTCCTGTAAGCGTCAAGAGAGAAAGAATGGGAATGTCGAAAATAATTTTTGTGTAAGTTTACCAGAGAGGTGCTCAATCTTGTCCTGGCAACGCACAGAATGGAAGGGCCAGGAGAAAAATGTAGAATTGTTGAAGGTTAAAAAAAAATCACACAAAGATCAAATCTGGTTCAAGCTCCACTGTCTGCTTGAAATGTTTCACTCCTCAGTTTCTACCCAGAACACTATAATCTGTTCACTTATATTTTAACTGAAAAGGAGAAGCCAAAGTTGACTAAAATTATAGCCTTAGTTTCTTGAAATCTTCATTTTGTAGTTCACTATAATTACTGCAATTGTATTTTGAAAGAGGCAAGAACAGGACTGTGTGTTGCCCAGCATTCTACTATAGAGTTCTCAATTGTGCCTTATACAAACTAAATTCCTAAGGCTGAAAAAAATTGGTCTTATATATGAATGTTTTAATATCTTGATTATGAAATATCCAATTCATAATTTATTGATTGGCCTAATCTTTTTTTTTCTTATTTTGGACAAAAACACAAACTGACGAGGACCAAAGACTTTTCTTTTAGAATGAAAGCTTCCCAATTTTCATGTACTTTGTCTCAAATGGCATTTTCCAAGCCACTGTATTAAGATCAAAAGGTGACATCTTTCCAATCAGACCTTCTTTTCCTATTCAGTGCACAGCCTGGGCATATTAATATTAAATTATTTATGCCATTCCCATTAAATATGTTGAAATAGAGATGAGTTTTACTCTCAAAAATCTAAGCTCATCATTACGTAATTCTATAATACTAAACCATTCTTTGTCACAGAATCATCCTGCGGGATTTTCTAGCATGTTTTGAAATCAACCAGTTATAAAGAAGAGATTCTTGAAAACTGTAATCTGACAGGTATTTAGTCATTAAACAGAGAGACCCAGCATCATTTCCTTCAGGTCAGCTCTTAGACCTACGTTTTCTCTACGAAGTTGGTTGTCATACCTATTAACTAAGAATGCTTCCAATGCCATCCTTTTCCCAATCTTCAAATTGTAAAACCCTTTAATCCACTGCAGGAAGAAGTGAAATACTTGGGCTAACACATCTTGCTCTAGAAATCCTTTTTTGTCATTTCTGACCTGAGCACTCCATGTTCAGAGGGATGACCCGAGTCCGCTCTGGGCAACATCCTGCAGCAGGCTCTGGAGCCAGCACGGCTTTTCTGCAGGCTGTCTGAGCAGGGGTGGGGGCAGCAAAGTGAGACAGTACCCTGGCCCTGCGGTCGCGCAGACACAGCTGGGAGATGACATTCTCTTGGCCAGCTTCCCCCGGAGGTTGACCTCATGGTCAAGCTTTCTTAAAGTCTCCTCACTTGGGAAATCCCCCCGGAAGACAAGGTCAGATTTTAATCGACTCTGGATTTCCTCAGCACCTGGTTAGTGTGCTCTGCTCACAACAGCCACATCATACGCGGTGAGCAAGCGGGAGTGGAGACAATTGCATTTCTGAAACTGTTTCTGCCTCAATTGCCACCTGCTCATCATGCTGGCCATTCTGAGCCAGGGGATTTCCTCTCGGAATCTCTACTCGAACTTTGAGCACAACGTGTTTTCGCCTTGGAGGTCACGATCACCTATTACCTGAAGGTGCTCCTTAAGTGCCCCCAATCTGTGAGTGCTCTGAGGGTAGGGGTACTATTTTAAAGACACACAGGGTATAGTACTCTGCCTAAAAGATTTCTTAGAAGAATAAAAAATATATATACATAAAAAAACCTCCAAAATTACTGATAGTTTTTTTTCTTAAAGCTAAATTAAGTAAAAGAACGTACTTTTTAAGGGTACAAATTGGTATTGATCATCTCCTCTGTCCTTATAGAGTAATGAGAATTCAATTACCGGGCTCTACCACAGTGGCCTAATAGACCCTACGCGGCCTGTGAACATTGTATCTGGATTCCGCAGTCTTAATATCATCAACATAAGACTGGTGTGTTTGTGTGTGTGTTTGAGCGTGAGAGAGAGAGAAACTTCTGCATGAGTTTGAGGGAGAAAACCATATTCAACTCAGTTGTAATAATGACTTTGATGATGACTGAATCTCCAACCTTTACTCACTGTGCATCTGCTATGTAACTGCTGGGTTCTCATGTGAATATTTAATGCTCAGTGACTTCTTCCTTACAATGAGGTAATGCTCTCATTTTATGACAGGAACAGAGATACAGAGAGGTTAAGTGATTTGCCTAAAGACATCCAGCTGATGACCCAAGTATGAATCCTTGCTCTTCCATATCTCTTTGAAAAACTACTCCCTGGGACCCAGGCAGCTGCCTTGCTGCTGCAAACCTGAACAGCCACAGGCATGGTTTGTAATGATACAATACTGTTCACTGCAAACTGCCTGCCTGAGTGACAACTTGTAGGCAGCAGTATACGATTTGAAATTGTGAGAAATCACGGTAGGGATGTGTAGGAAGTGCCTTCAACGAAGGAAGTCTGAAGGAAAGAGAGAATGCGAAAGCTACCCAAGTTCCGTGCCCTGGACACGTCCCTTGCAAAATCCCAAGCCAAATCCATATCGCAAATGCTTCGTAACACAGAATCTACCTTGGAGGAGTTCGGGTGGTAGTCTTGCTTTGAGGTGGGCAGGTCCATGGGTCAGGACAGAGGGTGGTCATGCAGTGAGATGTATTACAATGGAAGCGCAAGGTGGTGACCAAGGGGGAGTGCTGATTTACAGGGATCAGTGACAACTCTTCTGAGGGGGGTTAGGGATGGCGTGAATTTGTGACTGATCACTAAGTGTCAAGCAAATACGACATCTTAAGCTCTGTTAATATTTAGTGCCTGGATGCTCTGGTGCAGCTTTACATGCAGCCTCTTACACTTACCTGTACGTGGTTTCTGGAAGGAGATCTTTCACAACGTGAGTGGTAGTAGCGCCCACAGTGATGCTAATGTCTCCAAGATCTATGTTGTAGGCAAGGATTTCAGATCCATTATTGCACGGCTCTTCCCAGCTCAGTACAAGGCACACGAAAGGTGAATCGGGGTTGGTGCTGAGGGGCTCCTCCTCCAGGACACAGAGGGTGGAGACGGGGTCAGGGGCAGATGCTGGTGTCTGGCAAAGGACAAGCTCGCTGTAGGGCCCTGCGCCTGCTTGATTGAAGGCCTAGGAAACAACAGGGAGACCACAGTTACAACATCAGCCTCCATGTCACTGCCATTAAACAATCCAAAGTGGTCCACACTGTTTCTAGATACAGGAGCAGAATCGTATTCTAGGGCTTGGTGCGATAGCTTAGTGGCTAAAGTCCTGGCCTTGTATGCCCCAGGATCCCATGTGAACGCCAGTTCTAACCCCAGCAGCCCCACTTCCCATCCAGCTCCCTGCTTCTGTCCTGGGAAAGCAGGTGAGGACAGCCCAAAACCTTGGGACCCAGCCCCAGTGTGGGAGAGCTGGAGCAAGCTCCCGGCTTCTGGCTTCTGATCAATGCAGCTCTGCTGTCGTGGCCACTTAGAGTGAACCAGCAGATGGAAGATCTTCCTCTCTGTGTATCTGACTTTCCAGTAAAAATGAATGAAATCTTAAAAAAAAAAGAATCAAATTCTAGCAAATGTTCACTTCAGTTTAATGACCAATGTCCACCAAGTGCTAATCACATCTTTCTGAAATCAAGCGAAAGGCAACTTGGCCACCACCAACTCTGTACTTCTAGGGTTACTGAGTGTCTGCTTCACCGTAGCAGTCAGTTGTAACCTGTGCAGTAGATGTTCCATGGCAGGGATCTTCATGTACCTCTTGCAGAGTGAGGAACACAGTTAAACGACGCTGGCCTCATGTTGGGAGGCAAAGCTGACCCTGGAATCTACTTCGCCTGAGTTCAAGGCCTCATGTTGCTCTAACATAGTAAAATGGATTTTAAAGAAACCTATTACATTTTTTTCTTTATAAAAATGAATCAGTAAAGTATTTAATAAGAGAAAAAAACTATTTTGAAGAAGTGAAAGCAGAAACGTTAAAACCCATGAGATGTGGCAAACACAGTACTGAAAGCGATGTCTACTCTTTGCCACGTGAATGATCAACAGCAATTCTCACCCAGCCTCCTTCATCGGTGTTGATACTCTGGGCACCTCCAGTTCTTTTCTTTAACCATGTTTAAACCTTTTTGTAGGGCCCGGCGGTGTGGCCTAGCGGCTAAAGTCCTCGCCTTGATTGCGCCAGGATCCCATATGGGCGCCGGTTCTAATCCCGGCAGCTCCACTTCCCATCCAGCTCCCTGCTTGTGGCCTGGGAAAGCAGTTGAGGATGGCCCAAGGCTTTGGGACCCTGCACCCGCGTGGGTGACCTGGAAGAGGTTCCTGGTTCCCGGCCTTGGATCGGCGCAGCACCGGCCGTTGCAGTCACTTGGGGAGTGAATCATCAGATGGAAGATCTTCCTCTCTGTCTCTCCTCCTCTATGTATACCTGCCTTTCCAATAAAAATAAATAAATCTTTAAAATAAAAAAATAAACCTTTTTGTTTCTTTGCTTAGTTTACTTTAAAAGCAGCATAATAGGGAAGCAGAGGGAAAAGAGAAGGGAAGGAGTTGGAAGGGGGTGGGGACAGAAGGAGACAGAAGAGAAAGAGAGAGATAACCTCCACTAACCATGTATTCCTCCAATGCCCTGACAATTATGGTTGGGCTATGCTAAAGCCAGGACTGTGCAACTGTATCCTGGTGAGCAGCAGGAAGCCAAGTACTTGGGCCATCAAGTGCTACGATGCTCATTAGCAGGAAGCTGTCCCGGAAGCAGAGACAGGACCCAATGGCAGGCTCTCTCACATGGATGGTAAGCAGTTGAGCCTGCTACACAGTGCCCACTGTCAGTCTTTCACACGCACACACACACTTGCCAACCCTCCAGGACCAGGATTCCTGCTTTTTCCTCTCTCTTTGCTGCTCCTTCTTGCAGTTACCTTGCTGGCTGCTAGGATCGTCCAAGCTCTTCATGGTGGTGAGGGTTAGGGGTCCAAGAGCCCTCCTTTTTCTATTTCTGCTCAAACTTTCAGAGATCTCATCTCAGAGGTATACGCTATTCATATCCTAATCAAATCTAGGTCAGAGCTCTGAGCATTCATGCCAAATAACCACCACCCATGCCTGTCAAAGAAACATCTCAAACGCAACTGTCTACATGGTTGCTTATTTCCGCTTGGTCTCTCCTTAACAAAAACCTCACTGCGCTTTCTGCTGTCTTCCTCTTCCTCCAGGGCACTCCCTTCATAACCATGAGTTGTCCCTGAACACCTGTCTCACCCTCTCATACCCGTGTGCAGCGGATCAGCATACCCAGGATTCTTCTTTCTTTTCCTGGTTTGGCTGTGTAGAAAATTCTTTCTTGACTTACACCATTTACTGCTACCAGTTTTTCAAAGGAAACTTATTTTAAAAGCACATTTCACTAAGTAATAATAAGTTGACACACAAAAGCCCCATCAGAATAGAATTACTTTGCTACTTCTTATATTTTTGTTGAAAGGTCAGATATACAGAGAGGAGGAGAGACAGGAAGGAAGATTTTCCATCAGTTGAATCACTCCCAAGCAGCCTCAATGGCCAGAGCTGAGCTGATCCGAAGCCAGGAACCAGGAGCCTCTTCTGGGTCTCTCATGCAGGTGCAGGGTCCCAAGGCTTTGGGCCATCCTCAACTGTGTTCCCAGGCCACAGGCAGGGAGCAGGGCTTCTGGGATTAGAACCGGCACTCATATGGGATCCTGGCACATACAAGGCCAGGATTTTAGCCGCTAATCTACCATGCTGGGCCCATAGAAGCACTTTGGTACTTCTTAAATTAAAATATTCCCAAGAATATTTTCATGGTGCTGTAATCTGTTGTTGATGTTGTTGTTGTTGATGTGGCTGTTCTAACTCATACCAGTTGTTGACCTTGTTTCATGGCTTCTCACTTACAGTAATGTATAGTGATGGAGTACGGGGGTCTATCATATACAGATGTGGGGGTATAATGGAACATGCATCCCTGCATTCAGACGAAAGATGGATTCCCAGTGAAACTGTTGGGCATGTGTAGACAATGGGATGCTGGACTGTCTGACATTGTCTGTACCAACAATGTCAGGATATGCTTTAATAAGAGACTGATAGAATTATGATTCCTTATGAAGGACTACACTATTGTAACAAAATGGCAAAAGTCTGATGGGCAGTGGGGTTTTGGGAGTGAATCCCAGCCTATACAAAATTGTACCACAATTCAAAATAAAAATGTATTTAAAAAAATATTTCCAAGAAGAAAAAAACTAAACATTTCTGAGTAAGGCACAATTGTGTCTCCCAATTTTGATAAAGTATAGTACACATACTGTCATGATTTCATTTTTAAGATGTCAAATATTGAAAAGCATATTTAGGCTTAATCTGATTTTGTGCAAACGCCAAATGAAAATCATTTACATGTAGTCCACAGGTAAGAAGAACCCAACACAGATGTGGCAGCGTTCTCCTGGCATTGCTGTCAGGGCAGGAGGGGTAGTCAGCAGGAAGAGCTCCTTCCAGGCTCGGACTGATCCACACAGATATTTAGAACTATTTTCCACCACTGATATCAATATAGGGAGGCAAGCCTATACTGGCAAGTGACAAGACGCCTTGGAAACAAGACCATGTTAAAGAGACACTAAAATGCAAAAACATAAGTGGAGCAAACTCTACTGTGGTAACAGACAGTCCCTATGTACATCCTGCCCTGTAGCAAGTACAGGAGTGTGGCACATAATTTAACCTTTTTCCAATGACTCAGCATCATTGTTATGAAGACCGGATAACGTGCCGTGACACTGACTCACGGACAAAGGGACCAATGACATCCCAGGCACTCCATTCACAAAGGAAGGGAGGCTGGTATGTGACACAGAGGTTAATCACAAATGTTTAAGGCAGTTTTGTCTACAGAATTTCACAGGGTTTCAGCTGATCTGGAAAACTGATTTATGAAGGGAATATTTTGTCTCAAGTGGCCAGAAACAGAGGCCGTGCTTGCTATGCATAACCTAATCTATATTTAAATCCAGTGAGGACTTAATCCTGGCATCTTGACTTCTTTATCTGCTCAAATTTAAATGTGTGTGAAAATAGAACTCCTCAAGGTTAACAGCCACGTCTGGTTATTTTTTGTAACTGCCTTGATTACCCTTTCCTGGCACAGAGCAGTGACTAAGAAATATTACTGAGTAAGTGGAAAGCATCAAACAGAGCACCCTATTTCTCAGGACGAGGCTTTACAAAAGAAATCATTGACCCAAGTAACAAGGGGAAATAAAAGTAAAGCCGTGACTAATCACACACTCCAGAGTCAGGCTAAAAAACAACTGTTCCTGACATCACTCTGTTCGGAGTCTCCAGTGGAGCCTTGGTCCCCGGGGACGGGCGGTGGCAGAACAGCTCAGAGTACTCTCACATTGGGCTCTGGCGCCACTTCACAGGTGCTGTTTGACTTTTGTGTCATTTGTCAGTTGCAAGTGACTTTTCTATGTAAATATGCCCTTCAGGGCGATTCAAAGGCACCTTCCCGAAGAAGTGCCACCTTTTCCTTGGACTCATCATTGCTGAATGATCTGATAAGCCAGCAAGATACAGAAGCAGGAAGGAGTAGAGAAGAGAAGAATCTGGATCTTGTTTTTTTTTTTTTTCCCTCTTATTCCTAGGACCACCTAGAGAAGCAGAAAATGACTGTAAAATACCAAAATAACTATGCTTACATGTACCTATAATACCACAGAGACACACGCCTACTCCTCCCTGTGGTCATGATCACAAGCCTTGGCGCTGTCTTTTCAAAGTGTCCTTTATGGAACACCTGTCCTTGTGAGCCATGACTCCATGCTGTCAACCCACCTGTAATCTGCAGCAATACTGGGCAGCAGGCAACAGATCTCTTATCTCGAAGCAGGTGTCTGTTCCATGATAAATGAGTTCCAGGGATTCCTCATCTTCTCCCCATTCCAACCTGTATTCTGAGATGTCAGCCCCGGAGCTCTCAGGACTCTGGGAAGCAGAAAGGAGCCAGAAGAGCAGTTGAGAAGAGAATCCTAGGCTCATGTTAATGTTTAATGGACTAAACTGGGAACCCAGAGCAACACTGCCCCAGGATACATCAAATCCATAAACAAGAAAAGCAGGAGATGACCAACTTCCCCTGGATCTTGGCGAGCAGTAAGATGTCTACAGTTTTAACTGCATACAATCAAGTGGCAAAGGACATTCCTGTATATGGAGTAGGGGGGCAAGTCTGCCCCATGTATACTTGGGCTTTCTGGTTTCTTTTTAACGACTTATATGTGATGGTAAAGTGGAAAGAACAAAAACTGAAGCCAAACTTACCTCCCAAGCTACTAGAACACATCCATCGGGCGTAAAAGAAATACAAGGTGCTTTGCATTGTCCAGGAGGCCCTGCTGCAGTGGTAATTTCCGAGACGTCAGAATAGGGACCGTACTGAAAGAGAAAACCACCAGAAGCTCGGAGGTGTGTATCTGCGTACACATGTACACAAAAGCTTACACAGAATCAAGGTCAAGCCAGCATCGCCATCAGTATAAGCACAAGGATTCAAAATATTAACCTAATGGCTTTCATTTTCAACTGCATGCATCTAAGCTTTTCTCCTACATTTGCCCAGAGCAGTAAATATCTATTCTACTTAGGGTATTGGAGAAAGTTCTTAGAAAACGAAATTATAGAGATGTTTATTCCAGTGCAAACATTCATGAAATCCACACTTCAAATCATGCATCCTTCCCATAATTTTTTGAAAGTCTCACCTATGCTTTTTTGTTGTTATTCAGTACTAAATTTTAGGACAGTTTAAACTCTTAAAAAATCGACGTGGAATTATTGGTTATCAAATTCCAGAATTCTGGCATTTTTCTAGTGATCCTCAGCAGTGCCACTGAGCAGGCTGAAGCTGCACTGAGCTCCATTCTGTTTTATTGTCAGTGACTGCAATGCTCGGAGTCAGGTTCAATGGAGGTTAGACACGTTTTGAGACAGCCTTAACTGCCCGATTACCCGAACCAGCTATTTTTGTTGTAGAGGATGAGCTGTAATTCAATGAGCTGGGGGCACTGTGAGTTAGCATGTCAAACTGCCACCTGCACTGACAGTATTCCACCTGCGTACTGGTTCAAGACCTGGTTGACGGGCTTTTGATCGAGCTCCCTTGCTAATGTGCCTGAGAAGGCTGCAGAGGACAGGCCCCAGTGCTTGGGCCCCAGTACATATGTGGGAGACCCAGAGGAAGCTACTGGCTCCTAGCTTCAGCCTGGCCTAACTCTGATCGTTCATTTGGGGAATGAACCAGGAGATAGAAGACCTCTCATTGTCTCTCTCTTTCTTATTCTGCTCTCTTTTCTCTCATTAACACTGCCTCCCAAATAAATAAACTAAATCTTAAAAAAAAAAAAAAACAGGGAGCTATCATCCCACCAGAATCAGAATGGCTATATAGGAAAAACAAGAAATAACAAATGCTGCTAAAGATTTAGGAGAAAAAACAAAGAGTTGGGGGCAAAGAGCAAAACAACATCCAGGCTAATGCTTTTCAAAAGAGCAAATAAAAGATTTTAATGAGTCTCTCATTTTCCATCAACACTTGAAAAGCTACTGGGGAGGAGGGGGGAATTCTAGAAGGGATTCATCGGGAAACACGGTCATGTAGATACTGACTTGCAGCACAGTAGAAATAAACCAGTTTCTTTCCGACTGGGAAAGGAGCATGAAGCTAAGATGGCAGACTGCCCTGCTGCCCATCGGTCTGTGTTGTGGCACACTGCCCTGAGGAGCTGATGGGCAACAGGCACAGCAGCATCAGCAGGCGCCACCGGCCACCTTCTTCTACTCACACAGTGACGAGCTTCTCTATCCTGTCACCAGTAAGGCTTTAATGCTTAGACTCCTTCTTTTTTTCATGCTAGTATCTGCACTGTGTTTGAAATTCTTTGCTAGTAGGGAATTAGAACAGATTCAGCTCCTGCTCAAATGTGGGCTTTTGCTTCAGACCAAACATTTTCACAGCCAACGGTGGTTGCCATGGAACCGATTTAAATACATTTCACTTCTGGAACACTCCAACAGGACCACTGAGATCCAGGGGGGGAAAAATGTTACTGCCAATATGGTGTCACTGTGCAGTGTTTTTCTTAGTTTTCAATATTGTGTTGATTAATGAAATGCATTTGCATGGATCTTACCTATGGAAACCACTGGCCCACGTAGGAGCCTTCGTACCAGCTGACTTTACTGGTATCTTTCTGCCTTGAATATTTTCTCTGACACTCCAGAAAACCCCATGGACCTTAGGTCACCAACTGTCACTATGAATATGAATCTCCCTCAAATCTGTCATTCTGTAATTTCAAAGGAAGAAAAAGAAAAAAAGAACAGAGTCCCCCCCACTCCTGTGACTAACACAAAGATACTCTTAATCTGACCACTGCAGGTGGGGCAGAAGGAAACAAAACAACCACAGGCACCCCAGGTTCTCCCCAACCCCTACTCCACTCCAGCTTGAAAACTGACCCAAGACATCACGGGATCATAAGGCAATACGGTATGGAATTCAGATTTGGACGTTCGTATAGTCCAAACTTCCCACAACTGAGAGAGCCAATGAGGGGACCGGAAATTAGTAAATTAGTAAAAGCTATCAGAAGTCTGTACAGGGCGACGATCTGACTCAACCTTGAGTATCTTAATAGCATGCTGTGAACACTAAGGGAAACAGAGAATTCCTAATGATGCTACAGGCGCATGCAAGTCCCCGGGTGCGGAGCGGCACACTCACCCCTCCGTCGTTCAGAGCCCTGACCCTGAAGCGGTACGTGGTTCCTGGAAGCAGGTTGCCCACTGTGCACTCAAGCTCTGGCCCGTGGTACACCTCCGAGGCTACGGCCTCCGGCTCCGTCATTTCCACGCTGTACTCGGACACCTCACAGCCACTCTCGGATGCAGGAACATCTGCAAACGGATAAGTTCTTCCACCTCAGAACATGTGTGTGTGTCCAGGCCACCAAATCACACCTGGTTTTCCACAGGCTTTGCAAAATCTTACGCAGGGGCACTGCCTTTGGTGTCTGGGCTTAACAAAAGGACCCTTTCTCCACTCTCCACACATCCAAAAAAGAAAAAAAAAATTTTCTCAGTGAAGTCATCATCCATGCTTCGCAAAGTCAAGTGCCTCTCAAGATACTGTATCTCGTTAATATAAGGGATTTCCGAATAAGAAACTGTGGAGCAAATCTCTGCACATTTTAAAGTAAAGGGAAACACAGAAGCCAAATCTCTTTAACCTGATGCCAAGGGGTGTGCAAAATCAAGATACAGGACCCAACTCTGTCATAATATTTCATTCTATTTCAGATACAAACGGTGGGAGAGAAAAAAAAAAAAGCCATCGTGTTTGGATTCTGCTCATGGACTCTTCAACTGCACAGGCTCTAACCTGTGGCCCAACAGGGCGCACCAACACGGCTTAACTCAATGTCATGAAAACAGCAGGATCCACACTGCACAGGGCAGTGTGTGGGGAGGGTCACACACGGAGGAGGGGGTGCCCTACGAACTAGCTCTCGGTTTGATCTCTAATTGAGCGCTATTTTTATTTATGAGTCAAGTTGAGAACTTCCTGGCAGGTTTTAGTCCCTGAATCCATGTCCAGAAGAGTGTCCAGTGGAGGGCAGGGCATGACCAGTAGGTGTGGCGTTAGGAAGGTGATGCTGCAGCTGGGCGGGCACATGAGCCCAAGCGGGCACATGTCTACAGAAAAGGGACATGCTCAGTAGGGAAAATAATAAACAGATACAGGTTTTCACAAGGAAGTCTTGAAGCTTCATACCAGGGCTTGAAAGCTCAGTCTCCCAACTGTTTAAGCTGATGATGTTAGCACGAAGACGTGGTTACTCACCCCACTCTAGGTGGACTTCTCTGTGCCTTGGTCTGCCCAGGACCCGCGGCGGCCGACACTGCCCTGGTGCGATGCTCAGGGTGCGCACGGGAAGGCTCTCGGAACACTGTGGGACAAACAGCAGAGCCCGTCATCCCAGCCTCTGTGACCGCCCTGCATCTCCTCCGTCACTAACGGGCCAGCCCCATCTCAGAACCCGACACGTGGTTGCGGGGGATACGCAGTGTGTGTTACTGTATCTTGGTTTTCCTTTCAAGAGGAGGATAGAGTGGGAACAAACAAGATGGAGCGCTTGTAGCTGATGGTTTGTCTCCTAAACGCCCACAGTGGCCAAGACTGGGCCGGGCCAAAGCCGGGAGCCACAATCATACTCCAGCAGGGTCTCAGTCACTTGAAATGTCACTGTTGCGTCCGCACAGGGAGGAAGCTGGACGCAGGAGCTGGAGCCAGATGTTAACACCCAGGAACCCTGCTGAGGGATGGCGATGTTTTCACTGATAGGCTAAGTGCACCCTCTGTTATCCTGACTTTTCACAAAATACACTCTTCCTGTTGCTATGCCTGTGTGTTTTTAAGTGCGGCCCAACACTGCATGTGACACTAGCTGGCAAAAGTGATTATTCTGAAGGCAGATGGTTAGATGTGAGCACTGTATAGCCTAAGCACACAAATGATTTTCCTTTAAGCCAAATACGAACACGAAATGACAGTTGGATGAAATTTTTGAATGGTGCCACAAGTGGCCAACCACTCACACTGAGCAGAAAAAACAAGTAAAGACAGGATTCATCAACAGCATGTGGCATTAACCAGCAGGGTTTGATAACAAATCAGCCCATTCTGAGGGACCAGTGGTGCAGAAGCTGCCTCCCGGCTCAGGAGAGGAGCAGGCCGGGCGGAGCCACACTGCTCGGCCAGCCTCCATCTTCCTCCTGAGAAGCAGGGCAGGTGAGCCGGACTCCACACCTGCCGGCAGTGCGGCCTCGGTATTGTCTCTTGCAGGAGAGGGCTGCGTGGATACTCCGTGACTGTGAGCTGCGTGGGCTCCACCTCGGAGGCCTCCCAGACAGCCCTGATGCTACAGAGGAATGGTCCTGCTGAGCCGTCTTCTCCCAGGGCCAACCTAGATGTGACAGTACTGCTGTCCTTGGCGGAAGCAAAACCACTTGCAAGAACATGTTGGGGATGGGCTGACTAGGCGGGCATTCTCTGGACAGGCCAATCCAACACTGGGGTGTAGGCTTCTCTCTCTTTCTTCTCTACACATTAAAAGTTTCAAGCCATAATGTTAGAGAGTTCTACAGTGAAAACACCTGTGACGACCTTGCTTGGCATCCTGTTTTCTGAGTGTAAGTGAAAGCCATGCAGACAATAATTTTCTCATTTTCTTGGCAGGTTTGTCAGGTTATCCTGAGTCTATGAAAACACCACGTGGCAGAACTGTGTGTCTTCTGACATGTTAACCGGCTGCTCCGAGGTCTCCTAGATGGAAGACCACAAGAGGATGACTGCTGCCTGCTGATGTGTGTAGTGGGCACTGCACAACCGCAGATATATACAGTTTGTACAAGTTTCCAGCAGGGGGCAGTGAAGTACTTCCAGGAATGACCACGGCCCATAACGGCAGAGTTGTGTGGGAGGGCTCGGCCATGTTTCTTTTTCCCTTAACTGTGAATTCTATACTTCTCTATCACTGAAATAACTGAGGCATCCCCTATTTAACAGATGCAAATTCCAGACCGTTTCCAACCGTCGCACGTGATTATGGAAAAATAACCGACAACCTTACGTGGGAAAGGACTGCTTCTCTCTGAAACACAGCTTGCACATTCCCGTATCTCATTACCCGAGGTGGCGCTACAGCAGGCAGCACCGCCAGATGCTTTTTTTTTTTTAAGCTGCAATGTTACCCTGCCGTTACAGGTAGCTGGTGTGAGCGTGGTCCCACCTCGCCCTGTGGACGTGACCCACCTGGCTGTGTCCCCCGGTGCTGATGCAGCACGCGCGGACCTTGTACAAAGTGCCTGGCTTCAGGTGGTCGAAGGTGTACTCGGCAGCCGCTCCACTGTACGCCACTTCCCACTGATTCCCTGCGAAAGGAGACTCGCGTCTAAGTTTATGCTTTCCGTAAACACTTGGCTGCAACAACCAGTTTCCATAAGAACTCTCTTGTAAAATTCTTTTTAATATAGACAGGACTCTCTTTCCATTTCCTTTACAAAGCTGAATACTAAAATAGAACAGAGTCATATTTAAACTTAGTGCTGTTGGCTAGACTATGTAATGGCATCGTTATTATGTGTGCTGACTATGGGTTTAGACTTGGGAAACTAGTTGGCATGGGAGGTGTGGTAAAAGGGCGGTGTCATCCAAGCTGGCGGTGCGAAGGCCCTGGGGCATCTGTGGACCTGGTCGCCTGTCAGCCCTGAGGCTCTGGTGGGTGCGGGTGCTGCTGAGGTCTGGAGCCCACAAAACGTGTCTACTGAGTCCTTGGGTGAAGGGAAGCCTGGTGTGCCTCACGGAGCCCAGAAGGCTGGAAACAAACGACCCAAGTGCCCATGGCTCCCCAGGAGTAAAGAAAGTGGGGAGCAGAACAGCCAGATGATGCCGGACGAGGATGCCACGGAGCGGGCATCAGGGCACCTTCAACCCTCCCGCTCAAACCCCCACCTGCGCACCAAGTGGGCCAGGCTGTTTGCTCCTGTGACAACTATGTTTCCAGCTGACTGCCCTACAAAAGTCTTTCATTCCATGAACCTGTTACAGCAAAAATCCTCTCACTCTACCCATTCGTTTTTTTGAAAAGAATGACGTGTACACACATGCCCAGAGCTGCATGTTAGGTTGGACACACAGTGAAGTTGCCCGCAGCAGGGCCGGGGGAGTATGGGGAACACTGAGGACCGTGACCCTGGCAGTGTGGCCCAGGGTGCACTGAGAAGATGAGTGGCAGCAGCAGTGACTGCCACGACTGAAGCAGTCACGCATCTACGCATGGGCAAAGCCATTCACCCTGACAGAACAGCACCTGCCGTGTAGCATCTGCCGTGAGAATTCACAACAAGCTGCTCACACAGGTGTGGCTTTGCTCCTGGGCAGCCTTTCTCATGTACAAAGCTAAGTCATATTTTTAGCATGAAATATGATTTTAGGTTTAAGAACATCTGTGCCCATCTCAAAGAATTCTCATATTTGCAGCTTAAAATAGGACTCAATACACTTAGAAAACAAAACAGAAAAACCAAACCCAAAGCAAAACCAAAACCATTCTCCACCCTTTCCCCATCCCTCCCCCTCCCCCCAAAACCAAAAAGCCAAAAAGCTGACCACATGGGCTGCCTTGGCGGAGAACATGGGCCATGGGGGTGTTAACACCACTGGTCTGTAACTGCTACTAGCAACTCAGTTCTTGTTATATGCATGCATTGCTGTGCAAAAATCACTAGTTAAGGGACTAGTACACTTGAGGTTAAATGTCATCTAAATTCTTGTAACTTCCCTGTTGTCTGTCTGGCACGTCTTATTAGAAATAAAAGGCAGAGATTTTTGAAAAGACACCATTCTTCAGGATTTCTAACTGTTTCTCTTTATCCATGCTCACGTGTGATTTTTTTGTTGTTGTTTTGTTTGTTTGTTTTTAATTTTTCAAGTTTCAACTATATTGATTTCTTTCTTTTTTTTTTCTTGCTTCTCCATGTTCGTGTGATTTGTTAAGGAAGAAACAAAGTGACAGAAAGGTGGAGAGAGACCTCTGTGACAGACAGCGTACCCAGCACCAGCACCAGCCCCCACTGTCACACATTGTACGCCATCAGACACGGGACTTGGGGCGCCACCCAGCTCCCGTGCTGTCTGCAATTTCTCCTACCAGCTGATTGTTCCATACTGTTTCCAGCAGAGGTGGGCCAAGTGCCAGGAATACAGAAAATCTATTCTACAACTCTGAAACTGTGTCCTAAACAATGTACTGACTAAACAATACACATATTGCAACTGAAAAAAAAAACCAGAAAATCCTAAGAATGACCAAAATGTCTTTGAAGCACTCTGATCCCTCGCTTTACATCCGAAAAACTGTCAATATGTGATTGATGCTTACTGTAATAGCAATATCTTTTGAATTAATGACTTACTGCTATTACCATATGGATATTTACCATATTAAAACTAGGGTTTGCTGTTGGATTTGCATAATACAAAAAACAAAACAAAAAAAACCACCTCACCGTCAGAGTTCCCATCGGTGATCTCCAGCAAGTACTTGAGAATTTCGGAACCACCGCTGTCCTTGGGGGGATCTGGAAAGCAAGTCAAGTTAGTACTGATGGGGCGCTTTATTGGCAAACATTATTAGAACATATAAAATCACACGACACTTCCCGGTCTGAAATACAAACTTGTCAAAAGCACAACAATTAACTGAATTCACAGCAGTTTTCCCTTGAAAACAAACCAGCAAACTCTAAATATTATCAAACTATTGACATTCTTAGAGCTGGAGATATCAAACGGCTGGCACCCATTTAGCAGAGCACTAGTAAAACTCGAAACAGGACCTGATTTTTCGAAGAGCTGTGGGACGGGATTTCCTGAGAATTCTGAAGGCAGCTTTTCAGTGTTTGCTGATTTTCACGCAAGAGGACTTTCCATGTTTTTCTTTTTTTTGTTTGTTTGTTTTATGATTTTACTCTTTTTAAAAGTGTCACTGATTTTTACCAATAATGCATTTTTTTGAGTTGAAGAGAAGGAGAGAGAAGTACATATTTATTGACCAAATAAGGCATCATGATGGAATAACTGTCCATTCTGTCACAGTTGAGGGTACCAAAGGAGGCGAGGCAGGGTCAGAACCAGCGCATGGAGCAGGCAGCATGAGAAGGTGGCACCGGCCGAGTTGGACAGACCGTTGGCACCCCCACCACACAATACCCACGGGAGTTCTGTTTTCAGAACCAAAACCACTGTCTTGTTTTTGTGAAACTACGAAGCAGTACCTCTCTGCTACCTCCATATTCTTAAGACATGAGATCTTCTTAAGACACCGTGATGTTTACCCCTGTAAGCTTAGGATGCATTTCCTCTTACGGACACGCTTCAGCTAGATATGTCCGACAACCATCACACAGCTACTGTCACCACACACAGTGGAACCTCACAGTTAAATGTCGCCACATTTTTGCAGTGTTTACCGAGGAAAAGAGCTCTGTAGTCTGGCAGAAACCACACTTTGATTTTTACAGCCTCTTCTTGATTCCAACTGTTTTCCAAGAAAACACTAATAATCTTTCCTCACAATTACTAGGTAACTGAACATGTGTTGTGGGTCTTCAATTATTCCCTATATTTTCAGCTCTCCTTGTATTACTGGAATGTTTATATAATTATTTAGGCATTTATTTGCCTGTTTTGTGTAAGGGTCATATGACACTAGGAAACATTATACACATCCTGTTTTATATAGTTACAAAGTTTTATCAGCCTATTAGCTGCATTCATTGCATTCAAATAGCTGCAAAGGGCAGGTGAGCCACAAGTTCCTAGATACCCCCAAGTCCCATAGGAGTTCAATATGAAAAATTCCTCAAGTTCAAAACTCCGATCATACACAAAAATAATGAAAACAACAAGGCTCTTAAGTCTTTTAAAATAAAACATTCTGTGCACTAGAATTTAAGTAAGATGAAATACCTGAATTCTAAAACTTACTTATAATATTAACTTTAGGAGTTAATGTTTTTCTATTAAATAGGACTATTTCTGTGGGGTAAACTATTGAAGAACTTGATATGTACATAGACACATGTACTTATTTTCAAGGGATTATTTATTTCAAAGGTAGAGCAATAAAGAGAGAGAGAGAGAGCTCTTTCACCCACTGTGTTACTTCCCAAATGGATGCAACAGCTAGGGTTGGGGTAAGGCTGAAGCCAGAATTCAGGAATCCATGCTGGTCTCTCACATGGCTGATAGGAGCCCCAGCACTTCAACACATGTTAATAGAGAGCTGGATCATAATTGGAGCAACTGGACTTGAACCAGCATCCTGAAATGGGATGCAGTGTAGTGAGTGTGGCTTGACCAGCTGTGCCACATGGTAGCCCCTGAATTGTATATTCAGATCAGTAATACATTAACAATATAGCATAAAATATGTAATAGAGCAAAATAGTAAAATAAACGGGACAGTCTTAAAGTTAACAGTTTACATTTCCATTACATTTAATTGCTCAGTGCAATTTGTGGGAATTCCCACGATGTTGTCAATATGTATGTTCTAAATGCATAAAACACAAACAACACTGCCAGTTTCTTTGACTTGTCACTGTTGAAATTAATCAGCTTTTCAAAACCGGTCAAAGAAAGAAGTCACAGTGGCAGCCAAACATACCCCATTTGACGCTAAAGCTGTCGGATGTAACTGGCCCTTTAACCAGGGGTCTTGTGGGAGGTCCAGGTCTGTCGGGACTTGTGGTGCAAACCAAAACTTCACTGGGGCAGCTTTTCCCTTCTGCGTTAGAAGCAGTCAGCTGTAACACAGCCCGGAAAACATTGACATGCTTTAGTTATCAGGTATTACCAAATCAACAGTGTTTTTGTTTTTAATATGGTAAGTTCAAGGCATCTGTAAACTCAGGTACAGGCAAACTCAAATGTGCACACAACCACAACCACAAACACACACACACACACACACACACACACACACACACACACACACACACACACACACACACTTTCTCTCTCTCTCAACTCCAGTACTGATTTTACAATATTTTATTTTATGGATCACACATTGACTACTGACCACTAAAAATTAAAGCATAAAATAGGTTAGCACATTCGAAGATTTGTTTTACCCTTTCAAGAAAAACACACAATAAAACTTCTATATTACCAGTTGGCTCAGATTATTTTGTGAAAACAAAACATGGATGGTGGGAGGAAAGCAGATAAAATAACCTCTCCTATTTATGAGTAGGATAATGCCACCTTGTGGAGAAATGACAGCAACATAGCAAAGTCCTCGAAGCCAGCACCCCTAACAAGGGCTTTATAACTCACTATCTTTTCCCTCAAATAGCCACACACTCCACTTGATGCCTTGCCAACTATTTCCTGAATAATCATCATTTGCCAAAAACACAGCATTTGGTTACCAAATCTGAAAAGGCAGGGCAGACTTAGAAGACAACCTTCTCCCTCCAAAACGCATGTGGGGTCTGAGGAAACATGGTATCCTGCTTAACATCAGTCAGATGCCCTGCAAGCATCTGCATACTGTATGCAAGCAGGCATATTGTCTCCTGATGACCACCAGGTAGCCTGCACCACTTTAGGTACAACTGCAGGTCCCACTGTAACATTGTACTTTGTAACATTGTGTAACATGTTGATCACTAATGACCAAGGACAGCTTAGCTGAGGTGAGGTGGGGAAGAGAACAGTAAAAAAAAAAAAAAAAAAAATGTAGAGAAAAAGATGCAGAAGAGCAAAGGAAAATAGAGAGTAAAGCAAAAGCTGATGGCAATGAAGAGTCAAACAAACAAACAAATCCCAAAATGAAGAGAAAGGTATGACGTGTAGGCTAAGCGACAGGTGCACTCAGCATCTGGTTTGCATCTGCCTAGACGAGTGCACCTGGCCATGCTGAAGGTTTTGCCTTCCAAAGTAGATTTTAGAAGTGAAGGACAGTGTATACTTTGTAGATGTTACTTCAAAAGTGTACGGTGTTGTGCACCTTAAACACTTTTTAACCTACAGAGTTATTTGATACAGTGAGTGGTGAAACATGAAACCATTTCATAGTTAAGCAGTTCAGGTTCCAAAGTGACTGACTCACCCTGAATTTATATTGTGTGCTTCTTTTGAGATTTTTCACAGTACAGGTTAAATCCTCTCCAGTGTACTTTGAGTGGAAAAGGTTATCCTGAAAAGGCAAAGCAAGAAAGCAATATCAGTATTCTCAACCCTGGGCATCCTATATCCTGGCAGGGAGGGTTTTTATACTGCCTCTTGCCTGCCATCCCCATGGGAATAGAGGTCGGGCAGCCACTGCAAGATGGCATCACAGTACACAGTACTGTATGCACAGCGCTCCAGCCAGATGTAAGAATTTAACTCCAACACACTGTCTCGTCTCCTGAGTCAGGACAATCTTATTGGGGTGAAGTAATTGGCACTTCTTTATTTCATTGTTATTACTAAAGATTTAAAAAAATTTTTTTTGGAAAGGCAGATTTACAGAGAGAAGGAGAGGCAGAGAGAGAGAGAGATCTTCCATTCACTAGCTCACTCCCCAAGTGGCTGCAACAGGTAGAGCTGAGCCAATCCAAAGCAAGGAGCCAGGAGCTTCTTCCAGGTCTCCCAAGTGGATCCCAAGGCTTTGAGTCTTCCTCTACTGCTTTCCCAGGCCAGAAGCAGAGAGCTAGATGGGAAGTGGGGCAGCTGGAACATGAACCAGTGCCTATATGGGATTCCAGCACATGCATGGCAAATATTTTAGCCACTGAGCCATTGTGCCGGGCTCTAGGCACTTCTTTAAAAAAACATATCTGACAATGCTGTCACAGAAAAAGGCCCTGTACTGAAGTCTTCAACTGTAGCCTGTAGTGCAATCACCAAGGCTCAGCTTCCTGCCTACACGGTATGTTGGTCTGGCCAAAGCAAAAAGGACAGCTGAGATGGCGAAGGGCAAGATTCTCTCAGAGCGCAAATATGCCACCCAGAGTTGGACACCCAGAACCCGTTCAGTGGTATTTTCTTTTACTTAACCATTCACTCATTCATCATCCATTCGTTCTGTCATCATGTTCTATGGAGCACTTTGGGTACATGAAGCTTTCCTCGCAGCTACCTGGATTCAGACCCACCCAAGATTACACAAAGCTTTGTCTCACAAGAAGCCCACCCTCTTTGGAAAATCAAGTTAAGAAACAAACAGGGGCCAGTGTGATAGCTTAACACCTAAATCCTCACCTTGCATCCGTTGAGATTCCATATGGGCACCTGATTCATATCCCAGTTGCCCTACTTTCCTTCCAGCACCCTGCTTTTGGCCTGGGAAATCATTTAAGGACGGCCTAAAGCCTTGGGACCCTGGAGCCGCATGGAGACCCAGAAGAAGCCACTGGCTCCTGACTTTGGATCGGCTCAGCTCTGGCTATTGTGGCCACTTGGGGAAGTGAGCCAGTGGAAGGAAGATCTTTCTATCTCTCCTTCTCTCTGTAAATCTGACTTTCCAATAAAACAAATGTTTAAAAACCAAAACCAAACAAACAGAAAACCCCAACTAAATGTAAATATAAAGGTTGACATGTGGTATCTATCTAGCAAACATTAGGTCTGGACGTGTGGCAGAGCCAATGAGGTCTGGCTTGAGCTGCACATGACTCTTCGAATTCATATTTATCACAGTTAAAAATCTAGCCCTGTAGGTCCGCATGCCATGGTTCAAGGGTTCACTAGCCACTCCTGTCTTAAGTGCTGCCTACTAGAGAGCATACACTGTAGGACATTTGCATCACCACACAAAGTTCTTCCTTGGGTTTGTCAGGGAAGGGCTGTCCCAAGAGGTGACATTTGAGGTGGGATCTGGAGAGAGTGAGATAAGCAAACCGAAAGGCAACCCCAGCCACAGGGCAGAGGGCAGAAGGGCTACATGTGTGCAGCGGAGGCTGCAGTGTCAGATGAACTCAGAGATAACACCAGGAAGCCCCTGCAATAAAGCAGCTAGTAGCTGGAGAAATGGCGAAAAAGGATTAGGTCTTGGTGCAACTTCTGAAGGAAGACTGAAATGGAGTTGCTGATCATACATGTGGTCAAGGACGACTCCATGGGCCTTGGCTGCAAGAGTGGTGATGCCATTTACTGAGATGGGGAAGAGCAGGCTGCTGTTGGCAGTGGGAAAAACAGCATTGACTGAGGAATGAGATCACTAAGCTAATTGCATGGTGCCTTAGTGTTGTGACAGCACAGATTTAGGTAGAATACATTGAGGGTATAAAACTTGCAAAACTTACATTTTCATCCTCCTGAATCTCCAGGGTGTAGGTAATCACTTCTTCAGGCGAACAGCCTTCTGGCTTGTTCCACTGCAAGGTGACCCATGTGACACCAGCTCGAACAAGTCTTGGTGCTGAAGGCATCTGAGGGATGTTCCCCAATGTGTAGCATACCACTTCCTGGCTGTAGCCACTGTGGAGAAATGACTGCGTTAACGTATGTGGTGAAGAGGATGGCCATTCCACAGGAGGATGGGAAGTCTCCATGCCACCCCATGTGAAGGCTGTGCCTCAGGGGCTCAGCAGGCCAAGGAAAGCAAGATTCTCTGTGTGTTACTCCCCACCACAATATCCCGTTTGCCCTGTTTTCCCACTGAGCAAACCACAGTGAGTTATAGGACTTCTCTTTCCTACAAAAGTACTGAACAGAAAGCACAGCATAGTAGAATGTTGATCACATGTTGGACATTGTGATTTATGTCCAATATGGAGTCTTCCAACCATTATAAGTAATCATGGCTGCTGTTCAAGTCTGTGGATGTTTCTAACTCCTTTAAACATTCTTGAACGAAAGATGCCTCTCCAACCTGTTGCCCCTGAACTACCTGATTAAGTTATTCCCTTAATCAAGAGGTACCTGGCAAGTGCAAAGGAAGTGTTATCTTTTCTCAAAATCCCTTTACTGAAGTGATAGCTGCCTGTTCACCTGTTCTCCAGCAGCCCGGAGGCCTGCAGTGGTGCCCAAGACAGACCAAGTTTTCTCCTATCTTCCGAGTTTGTGCCCTGAGCTTAGTAATAACTGGCTGTCCCTTGGAATCAGAAAATATTCTCATGTCAAATGAAGAGCTTGGTGAAGTCATGACAGAAAAGGACACAGCATCTGAAACAGGAAAATCCCAAGACTTTCAAACAGTCCTTACACAAGCTGCACTGCTGCCTTCATGATGGGCAGAGAGCAAAATGAAGGGATCTCTATTATAGCCAGGAAATCGTAAAGGTGCCTCTGAACACTTGTAGCAGAGGAGCCTGGAGTAGGAGTCCCTTTGAGAAACATTTCATTTCTCTCAGTGATGGCAGACCACTCCCTTTCATCTTCCAGTAACATGGGCCAAAGCTTCAAATTGGAAGGGGAAGGACAGAAGAAAGCAGTGTACCTGGTGCCGATGTCGTTCCGGGCAGCCAGCCGGAATGTGTACCCCATAGCTGGACAAAGCTTTGTTAACTTGCAGTGCTTCTGGCTTCCAAAGAAGCACTGTCTGAAACCGCTGTTCCTTTTTCCCTATAATAAAGCAATGACAACACTTTTTAGGCAAGGAAAAATTTCCTAGTTTGGACAAAGAAAGCTCGATAGGCAAGCTGACTGCGCGTTGTCCACATCACACCTCAAGCACCTGCAGTGACGTCTCACACTTAACGCAACTGGACCCAGAGGACTCTGTCCCCGACAGGCAGTTCCCTTCATCCACGGCATCTCTACGGTGATTTCCAGTGATAAAGTTAGAAAGGTCCTGTCAAGCACAAGGTTAAGGCCTACTGATGCTCATTTACTTATTTATCTGCAAAGTGGCATGATGGAGAGAGAGAGAGACCTTGCATTTGCTCATTCATTCCCCAAATGCCCACAATAGCTGGGTTGGATCAGGCCAACGTCAGGATCCTAGAACTCCATCCAGGTCTTGCCCATACTTGGTGGTGCCACAAGGGCTTGGATCATCTTTTACTGCCTTCCCAGGCACATTAGTAGGAAGCTGGGCTGGAAGCAGAGTATCCAGGACTGAAGCCAGCACTCAAACATGGGATGCTGGGATCCTAAATGGCAGTTTAACCCACTGTGCTACAACACTAGCCCCAGGATCAATGTGCTAAAACCCTTTTCCTTAATGAGGTGGTTACAATTGCCTGGTCTGGGTAGACGTGAGTCTGACTGCAGCTGTAGGGGGATATGCATCCTCTGAAAAAGCACAAGCCTTCCCAGGAACTCCTAGCAGCCATGCAGCCAAGTGTGGCACACAAAGTCCTCTCTAGCCCCATCTCATCTCTCCCACCACCAAGGAACTTGAACCCCTCACATTCTAGTGCTGGCACAATGTTTAGTAATCCCTAAAGAGTGGGCCCATGCCTTTACACCATCTCATCCACACCTGCTGCCCTCCTGACTGAGCTTTCTGAGCCCCTCGATGCTTGCAGAGGTGAACTGAACGTCAGAGAAGCACTTGGGGTGTGGAGCAAATGCACTGATGACTGGGACGATTACTCCACATTTCCTAGGAGGCCAGCCATGAATTTTTAATGCCTCCCCAGCCTTGTAGGATGCTTGAGCTTCCTTCAAGTGGAAACAAAACACTCCTGTGGGGTCTCTTTATAGATCCACGAATAAGGAATCCTTTCATGTCAGCCGTTTGCTGGAATGGCATTTCTTGTCATAGTGCAGGCCACCTTATTATTCCATCTAGCTCAGGCAAAAGAGAACTACCTGCTAACGCTGAATGGATGCTAGCATTGTCACAGTCAGGCCAGGACACTTCCTGTGTGGAGGCTGAAGCAAGCACAGGCTTCCTCTATGCAAATCTAAGCTTGCCATCCCTTGAAGCAGGCTCCCATAGACTCACTATGGAAACACATTCCTGACATTGAATGAACAAGATCAACACACCAGTTTGACTCTAACTGGGGTGGACAAGTTAAAAACAGGCACATCACATTCATCCACACACCGGCTCTTCCACCTCCAGGCCATCTTGGCCCCAGGGAGCGCAAATCCCATTGGTCTTTCAAATTCAAAGTTGTTTTCATCAAGGTTGTTCAAAGTGCATTCAAGTACAACCAGGAGGTAGGAAAGGAAGTAAAATACAACAGTTTGCAGTTGCTAAGTTGAGCCAAATCACTGTGTGGCTGGCATTTAGTGCCCTTCTGCTTACTTTAACCTTGAGTGTTAAGGCTGATGCAGAAGATTTATTCATAGAAAAACTGTTTACGCATACATTAGCATAATTACAGCCCGTGTCTGATTACAGTGCAGGCAAGTGCGGGATGTTTTGTCTCCCTCTCAGGCTGCAGCACCATCTACCTTCTTTCCTCCTCTATTTCTGCACTCAGAGTAAACAGTGCAAGAAAAGGCACATCCTGCTGCCACGGAAGCTATCATCCCGTCCAAACCCAATTTTGGCTCCCCTTCAATGCCTCGTTTTTCCTATTTCTTTGTTTGGTCTGCTTTGCCCATTTCTGGTGCTTAGAACTACAGCCAGTACATAAAAGCCAATCTGTTCCTTACTAGGTTAATTTGCTTTAATATGGTGCAAACCAGACTGTCTGTGGCTTAGATCTGAAAAAGAATGGGAGGCATCAACACAGAGAAGTAGCCTTTTCTTTCAGAAGGGCACACCATCCAAGTCTGGGGGAGGAGGGAGGCTTGGGGGGACCTCAATTGCCATCTCCTGTAGTATTGCTAACTTGTAAAATATTCTGCTGCATCCTCAGGAAAGACTTCTAAATTGACTCCAACCTGTTGAGACGAGACATACCAGATTCCTACACTTTCCAAGATATTCCTGTGTGCGTGTAACTTAGGAGCAGGCATGAAGGTATGTGCTGTTGGAACCTAGGATACTGTTTTAGAGGTAATGGCTGTGGAGCATCGGCAACAGGGTGAGGGAAATAGTGTCATCATTTCAAAAAATCAGGGCTTACTGATTCATTTTTCAAAGTCACAGAAAAAAGTAAAGACAAGGGGAAACAGGTTGGCAAAAATATTTCCAACGCAAGGGAAACTTTTGGATATAGGAAAATAGTCATGCATAACATGGAGTTTAATATAAAAAGGATTTCTAAAAGGAAAAAAAAATTATTATTCACAGAAGTCCTCGCAGAGCAAAAGTGACCCCAGCTGACAGGTCAGCAAGTGTAGGTGGCACAGGCCACTGTCTCCAGTGACACAATATCAGGGGTAAGCCTTGGGCCATCCTGTCCACTGTGTTGCGTGCACAGCTGGCTCCAGGGTGAAGCATTAGAGCAGGAACATGTTCAAAGGGAAGGAAGATTTATAGAATCAGTTGGTAAGCTGAGAGGGATTCCAACTTGTAAACATTTATAAATAAAATAGTTCTTGAAGAAAAAATAAGAAGTGATGCTGTAGAGGATTAACAGATTCCTGTGAGCTGACAGGAGCGATAATATGGATGTTTATCACGGTGTATCAGAAATTAGGTATGTCCAAGTAATTACTGTCAGTGAGGTTTTATAGCCGGTAAACTATAACTTTCCTATTTTATATTTATTGTGGCTCCAAATGTTTTTGAAGGATGATAATCTATGGGATGCTTTCAATTCTAGTAAAATCTAATTTAAGCTATTCAGGATTGCTGAGAAAGGCTAACTTTAGGGAACTTTCTTTTTTAGTCATTTATTCGTGTTTACTCAGCCTTGCGCAAAGTTTCCTCCTAAAACACGGTCTTTCTAGAACTTGGGAATCATGACATTGCTGAGGCTGGCAGCCAGCAAGCACGGGCAAAGGGGCAACACAGACCCCAGGCCAGATCCTGAGCACCCACACGGCCCCTGGAGGGGCACTGGCAGCATGAACAGTGGGGCAAGAGGAGACTGGAATGGTCCCACATGCCACCTCGTCCCTAGGGCAGGGATGGGCAAGTGTGCCTGTGGATCTTGGAACATCAGCATACAACATCTGAGCAGTCAGATCAGGACCTCTCTGATGGCTTTTGGTCTTCCTGGTCTCCATGGGGAAGGAAGAAAATAAAACTGAACCCCAACTGGGGAAACTGGTGAGAGGAGGCCTCAAAATTACACCTTGGTCATTCTGGGGTAAACCTAGCCACTGCACTACTGACCTCGTTGGAAATGAACCAGTATAACCTGCAGTCACGTTCCGGCCTCATTTTTCCACTGCCAGTCTTGTGAGCCAAAAAAGGGCATTCAGGACTCACTGGCTTACTTCCACTTCATTTCAGGCACGCCCCAGTGCTTGTTTCTGCAGTTCATACAGTTCATCCAAGGCCAAGGATCTCTGATACACTGTGAAGAAATCTTGAGTATAAACTAAGAGATAAACTTGGAGGTGTTCTAACTGGCCTGGGTGGTTTCCTGTTTCCAAACTGAATTGCGTTCCCTTCTTGCTCCATGGAACTCAGAGCTCCTGCTAAGGTACCATCATGCGCCGTGCAGACCTGGCCTGAGAGCTCCTACTCATCACTCTGGGGAGTGGCTGTCCACCAGAACCCACCGGGTTTGTCATCCATTACCGGTCAAATGGCTCTCCAGGAAAGCCTGGACCTCCTGCCGGCTGGCTCCTGCTCACAGCGTGTAACGTATCAGCCCTTCCCCAGGCCTGTGGCCTAGCACTGCCTCTTTCTCAACAACAGACGAAAATAAACTATCCTGGATTGGCTGCTCTGCCATCCCTGCAGTGTCACCATGACTGTGTTTACCAGAATCCACCTGGCCTAGGCTGGGCAGACCAGAATTCTGCCAAGCGGCTGCCTCTCTGCATTTCCAGATTCGGGCAGCAAAGGTGGGGACAGCAGATCTGAACATCTAGAATAGCGCTCAGCCTTCAGTACCTGCACTCTGCCTGAGCCTCATCCTCACTTGTCTTTTAGGAAGAGTCACTAATTGGGTGACAAGTGCTGATAACAAGGAGTTCAGATGTTGCTCTTGAAACCAGCTGTACAAAAAGGCCACACGGGTAGCTCCAAAGAGATCCTGCCCAAAGCTGGCACTGCTGTCTAGGTCTTGTGAGTGAAGACATTCCACGGGATTTTATCATCAGCCATTGCGGTTCTCCCAGCTATATCACTGTAGACATTTCAGAGCACAGACCAGCTGTTCCCCAGCTCCCAATACAGAACCTTCAGGCCAAACTCCACCAGCAGAGCTCTAGCCCTGCTTTCAGCTGCTATATTTTTCAGACAATTTGCTATGCAACAGTTCATTCATCCACTCTGCCATCCATATGGTATGGAATCCATACAGTATGAAATTCAGCAAACTTTATAAATTCTTCTTCTCTAGTAATAGGCAGGAGGTGAGGGGCGGAATGAGGATGCAAGTGTACAACAATTCGCTGACATGCATTTAAGACAGTCCTTTTCCCTCCCAGCCAACCATCAAAACAATGGACTTTCCAAAAATGGGTCCAAAGCAATGTTTTTTTTTTTTTGTGGCAGCTAAAAAGGGTAAACAGAGTTCTAGGTGACAAAGATCAGTCATACGTGCAACCAATGACTGTGCAGTTGATGCACCTAACAGAGCAGACGACTGACTGAT